CAGATGACTCTCGAACCCGCTTTCTATCCGGTTGACTCCAGCGACCCAGCCCCAAGGAGATTCCAGAACATTCTGAGTCGGAAGGATCTATAAGAGCCAGCTCAAGAGCCCAGTTGGGGCTCTCTCCACCCTCGGAGAAGCCCGCATTCCCTCTGGACGCGTTACTCTCTCTCTCTTACTCTCCATTCCCCCGCTTATCTGCTTATCCCTTCCTCTCCCTCTCCAAGAGCCTCCAAATAAAACCTGTTACTTCACTGCTCGTCTACTCCTGAAATTCTTTTCTGTGAGCGAGACAAGAACCCCAGAAACCTCGGGTAAGGCTTGGAACTGGTCTCTCCTTTCCTGCAAAGAGCAAATTCTCGCCCCAGCTTGAGTCCGTGGCTCCCCGAGCAATTGGGTGGCGGGGATTAACTCCCGTGCCGAGAAGATCAAGCGGACTTCAGGTGTGGCTTGACGGCCACCTTGTGGGGCTGGCGGGGCTTAGGCCCGTGCCGAGCAGGTGCTCACTGCAGACTTTACTGGTCCTAGCCTACCCAGGGTTCCGGGTGGCAGAGGCGGGTGAGGAGAAAGTGGCTGTCTTTCTCCTCCCCACTTCACATAAGTCACCCATGTGGCCCACCGACATCATGTTGACCTAAAAATGTGTAATATCAGTTGACAGTAAAGATGAAACTGAGTCAGAGGGAATTGTAGGGAGTCTTCCCCCACCAAAATAAAACAGACATCCAGGATAACATGATTCTAAATTAAATAGACATTTATGTTGGAGATAATACTTGTAACTTGAATCCGGGGGGGGGGGAATCAGTATCACAAACTCCATTTCTGTAATATACATAAAATTTTTCCTGCATAGACTATTATTTTCCTTACAAACACTGGGCATAAAAATGACTGTTTGCTAAAACCAGACAAAATCATAATAACCCATGAGAAAAACCTAAGAGATTTTGTAATTTAAAATATGTTGATATACTGAGAGTTCTTTTCCTGTCTGTTACACATGTAGGGAGATACTTTTAAAGTACTCTTCTTTTCGTTTTGTTTTGTTTTGCTTTCTGGGTCATACCTGGCGATGCTCAGGGGTTACTCCTGGGTTTGCACTCAGGAATCACTCCCAGAAATGCTTAGGGGACCACATGGAATGCTGGGAATCCAACTGGATCAGCAGCATGCAAGGCAAACACTCTACCCATTGTGCTATCGCTTTAGCCCTTGAAGTATATCCGTAAGCAATATTCTTATTCTCTGCATTTTAAAGAATTTTACTTACTAGCAAAGTAATTTTTACACTTTAGCATTTTCACTTTGAGGAAACAGAATATCACCATTCTTGGGCTGAAGAGCTATTTAGAACAGTAGAGCACATGCCTAGAATGCTTGACTTCCTGAGTTTGAGGCCCTCCCCCTTGAACACCCCACAGTTCAGCTCTCACAGACCTCAGTACAGCTGATGGCCCCTTGGTTCAGCCTAGCATCAAGTTATGAGACCCAAATTCAGGGCTGAGAGTAACTGGGAGTGTCTACCTAACATCGTGTGGACTGCTGGGGACGGCCCTTATAATAAAATATGACTAAATAATTAAAGTATTATGAAATACATTGGGGCTGGAGCAGCGAGTAGGGCGTTTGCCTTGCACGCGGCTGAACTGGGTTTGATTCCCAGCATCCCATATGGTCTCCTGAGCACAGCCAGGAGTAACTCCTGAGTGCAGAGCCAGGAGTAACACCTGTGAATCGCCGGGTGTGACCCAAAGACCCTCCCGTTGATCCTCGATTTGCTCGAGCGGGCCCAGTAACGTCTCCATTGGAGACTTTGTTGTTACTGTGTTTGACATATCAAATACTCTCGGCAGCTTGCCGGGCTATCCGAGAGGGGCGGAGGAATCGAACTCGGGTCGGCCATGTTGGCCGCTTGTAAGGCGAACGCCCTACCGCTGTGCTATCGCTCCAGCCCCATGACCCAAAAAGCAAAACAATAAAAAAATTATAAAATACAGAATTAATCATGTTTGATTTAAACTCCCACTTTTAATTATGGCAGATTGAAGTGGTGACAGTCTTTTAGGCAATTGGTATCCAAGAATACATATTTATATGCTTTTGAGTTTATAAATAATAATGCTTTGGATTATGGGTTGTTCAGCTACACTGTACTGATGATTCCCAAGTAGGATGAAATAGCAATGCACAATGTGTCCTGCCTCCTAAACATGTACAAAATATGAAAAATCAATAGAATAAATTTGTAAATTCTTTATAAACGTAATTGTGTATAATTTTAAATATGCAACCATTGGTTTTAGTTTTAGTGCATACAAATTTATTGTCTCTATCACTGTCACTGTCACTCTCCTCCTATTGTTCATCAATTTGCTGGAGTGGGTCCAGTAACATTGTGAGACTTGTTACTGTGTTTGGCAAATCAAATATGTCACGGGGAACTTGCCAAGCTTTGCCATGCGGGCAAGATTCTCTTGGTAGCTTGCCGGGCTCTCCTAGAGGGGTGGAGGAATAGAAATCGGGTTGGCCATGTGCAAGGCAAACACCCTACCCACTGTGCTATTGCTCCACCCCATACAAATGTATTAAATAAAATAATTAAGTATTATCAGTAATAACCTTATTTACTTCTACTGGTTCATAACATTTTTGCCTTGCAATCCATATTATCTTGGGTTTTCTAAGAGTCAGAGTGTCTGCCTCACGTTGTGTCTCAAGAAAGATTATGCATGTCTTGAACATGGGCATGAAGCTGATGCCCCAGAAAATCAGAGGGAAAAGCTGTCATTGTTCTCCAGAGAAAATTGAGGGAGGAACAAAAACTGAAATCTACCTGACCTGGATCTCTTCCCCCTTATTTACCCCACAGCTCAGCCTGGTATTTCTCACCACAGCTGATGATCCCCTTGACTCAGGCCCAGCAACAAGTTGTGAGACCCAGAGTCAGGGCTGAGCGTAACTGGCAGTGCCCAGTAACTGCAACTGTTTGGAGACAGAAAGAGTTTCAGGGACAGGGAGTTATCCAATCTGGATTGATTGGTGAAAGGAAAAGAAAAGATAAAGCCCATACTGCACTTGAAGAAATTCTGTGGCTCAGTATACAGTTCCAGGGTGAATGGTGGGGGGAGTGGAGGGTGGGGGATGAGAGGGTGGAGGGGAAGGGAGGTTTCTAGCTCTTGATGTCAGGAAGTCAGATGACCTTGTTTTCTTCTCTTTGTGGGTAGCAGCTTGAAAAGATAGTATATCTTGTTCCTTAGCGCATGGGTTGATGGGGTTTAGAAACCCTTTGTGGGGAAGAGAATGTGAACAACATGTAAAGCACTTGGCTTTGCTTGTGTCCTCTTGAAAATCATACTGTGCCCTTATCGCCTTAGTTTTCACTCCATTCAGAATTTCCACTAAAGTATAGAAGTACACGAGTGGCATTTTATCTTTCCACACCATGTGTGACTAACTCACAAGTGATAGGAATGATCTTATTGAACTTAGTGGAAAATATTTTTTCATGAAACCACTCAGACTTAAGGTGGTTTTTGTTTTTTCTGTTTTAGGCCACTGTGGTCACAGTGTTATTTTCAGTTTAGTTTCTTATATACCACGTGCATGCTACATGCTGTTGTTAGCACAGCACAGTGAAACAGGAGTAGGGGGTACTGCTCACTGTTGAGCCATAATTCACAGGTTCTTCAATGTTTTCAAGATAAAAAAAACAAATATGAGGCTTTTAATTTTTTTCAAAATTAAAAAAACAGCACTCTCAGACTTAGAGTTAAAAAGAGTTTTTTTAAGCACTAGAGAGAATACAGATCGTAGGGGCTTTGCTCACACTGGGCCAACCTGGGTTTGATACTAGATCCCTGTCAGGAGTGATCCCTGAGGTCAGAGCTAGGATGAAACCCTGAACGCAACTAAGTATGGCCCAAATTTCAATAAATAATTTATTGAAGAGAATAAGGGAAAGAAACTACCTTGCCAGGAAGAAACAAAGTAGGACATTGCTAAGTATGCTCATTTTTATGGGGGATTACAGAAAAACTGAATATTTGATTTTTTTATCAAGTGAAAGGGCTGTTATAGAATATCAGTGGAATTGATTTTAATGTATTCTATAGAAATGTCTTATTGATTTAGGACCTTTTTCATGTACGTAGGATAAGATGAACATCCAATAAGTTCCCACTTAGGCTGGTTGGGTTGCTGGTTTATTTCAGAACTTGGCAGTTACATAGTTGACTATTGGCCTATGCACAAGCCTGTTATCCCAGACCCCAGACATTGGGAATTTTTTATGGCTCTGAGAAAATTTTGGGCTCCTGTTCTTAAGGAAAATTTTAGGAAAGTTCAGAATGTGGGATAGTAACATTTAAAATTGGAGTCACTCTTAGTCACTGATGAGGAGAAACAGGGCTCCTCTTTCAGAGGCCACCAATAGCATCACTAGACTGGTTCCCAAATCACATAGCTGGAGCATAAATTCCATGTCTCACTAGCTGTGATTGTGACAAATTACAAAACCCTCAAATAGAATTTCTTCATATGAAAATTGAGTGTAACAATGCCAACTTTACTGGCTACTGTTCAGATCCAAGTGAGATTACAGGCAAAAGTCCCTTGACTGTATGTGTGACTCAGGAAATATTTGAATCGTTTTTTATTGTTTCTCCATGAAAATAAAAGAACAACAGCAATAGTTCATCTACCATAATGGATGAGTTTACATTTTAATTTAATTTTAGTCTTTTGGGAGACTGAGCCCATGTTCTAACCCTCAGCGACATCAGTGCTTCAACTTCCAAGAGGTGTTCAACTCATTGCCACTTCCATTGTCACCACCATCAACACGGTGAGCTATTTTTGACCACTTCTTATGCTCCCATGAAAAGCCTTTGCAGTAGAATTAGTCACAGAAAACACATATGGGAAATATTTCTTCATACCAACAAGTTGCAAAAGAACAGCTGACAACAGAGAAAAAAATTGTGTAACTTGGGACTTACCCACTTTTCCACATGCAATTGATTCTGGTTCATTTTGAATGTTGCCAACAGACAGATCATTCTAGTAAAAATATGAATATATCATTATTTTGCTTTGAAATCTTCTATAGGACTCTTTTATTTTCAAACCATACAACTCTAAGTAATGAAGGCTGCACAATATAATTATGCTACTTTCCTTTCCATCTTCTCTCATTCATTCTTTTCTAAACACCAAGGTAAAAAATGTCATTGCCCCCCCAAAAAATCAATACAAATTTCTTGCTAGTGTGCAGCATTCTAACTTATAGGAACTTTCCAGAAGTTGCAACTTATTAAGCCACAGCTATCATGGGAACTCCACAGTATTCATTTCCATTGGCCATAAAACTGCTGCTTCAGCATTTTGATAAGTTACCAGGGTATAAGCATATGGAGTAACTGAGATCATACTCACCTAGACAGTAACAATGCCAAAGTCCTCAAATCCTTGCAGAGGCTGAAGACTGATAACACTGATCAGTGTTGAATGCAGAGAACACACTAGAGAACTGCAGTGGACAGCACCATTGAGTGTGGCACCATGCAGAGAGAGAGACCAGGGTGGAGTAGGGGTGGAGGGGAGGAGAGACAAAGGGAGAGGAAAAGAGAGAAGAGAGAGGGGGTAGAGTGGAGAGGAGAAAGGAAACCATTTTTTTGGCTTCCCACTGTGCAGCTGCCACCTGGCTAATGCAACCGTTGGCAGTTGAACCCACAGCATACTCTGATAAAGGGATTTGCACTGGCACTTGATAAATGACAAGAGGTAATAAAATATATCTGCAGTAATAGCAGTGACAGGATTTCAACACTAACACGTGTATCCCCTTCCTGATGGGGAAATAAGAAAATTTATTAGGTAATAGTAACCAAATAATGAAATATAGCTAGTTGAAATATCAGCTAGGAGAACATCCAGTTCAGGAAACAGAACAGACTCTGAAAATCAAAAGCTCATCTAGGGAAGATGATGGTTGAATGAAGACTAAGGATGATGAATAAACCAAAGTATACACTCAGTCCATTGAAGTATCTCTCTAGTCTCAACATTAGAATGAAAACACTAGACCTCCTAGTTACCTTGAGAGGACAAGAGACCAAACAGAAACTTCACATCAGAGCCCAGATCTACCCTGATACAGGAGTTATAATAGCCACTGCAAACATGCCATTGAGAAATCACCTTGATGCTTTCCCAGAAAGACTTGTTTTTCTCTCAGCAGTGTTTTGTGTTCCCTTGGCTACGTACATCATTTTTTTCATAAGCCCAGCTCTGTCAGGTCATTCTTATTGTGTCCAGAGTGAAGATATGCCAGCGATAGAAGAATTCCTGCTAATGCAACCGACTCTTCCTTCATTATGTGCTCAGTGTTTCTCAGTGTTTCATGTACTTCTGGGAAGAAGACAGAAATTAAATTTATACTTATTCAAAGAATTAATAATGAATGGAAAAGGTGACACATGCATGAGGCCCAGATTTCATCCATCTCCAGCACTGCATGGTCCCTCAGCTGAGTACTACCAGGAGTGACCTCTGAGCACAAAGCCAGAAACATCACCTGAGTACTACTAAATATGGCTCCCAAAAAAAACCAAAGCAATTTAGTGAGAAATGACATGTTGAAATACAAGTTTTTGGTGTGTAATTTTGATTGGAGGCCATACCCAATAGTGTTTAGAGCTCACTGTGGGTTCTGTGCTCAACTACTACATCTGATTGTCCTTAGGGACAGTCCTTAGGGATACTTGTGTGATACTGGGGATAGAACCAGGGTTGGCCATTTTCAAGAGAAGTGCCTTACCTATCTCTCTGGCTCTTCTGCTGTGTATTTTATAAAAATCATATTGACGCAATAGTTTTTCATTGATTTGCTTTGAAACATTATAGTTCTGCACAATGCAATGTATTGATTGGAACTGGAACTAAAATGTGGGTGGAACACCATCTTCCAGTTAAAACAAGCTGGTTTAGATTTATCTTTTCTGATCCTCACCTATGATAACCTGCCAGTGGAGAGTTGCTAAATCTGGTGTAGGTTTGCCTCCCAGATTGGGTCATGTGGGCCTTTCACAATCTGTTCAGAGCATGACTATTTCCAGTAAGGGTTACTTAGGTCTGAAGACCAAAGGTCCCCTGAGGCTCTGTGGCCATCAGGAGTAATTTGTAGCATTACATATAGAATGTAGATGATCTAGCTTTATGTAGTTTTACCTTATAGAGACCTCCTTTGAGACAGAGCACACATATAGAATTCAGGTTTTGCCATCTGAAACCATCCCAACTCTCCCCAGGTATTTGTGAATCTCCCTGCCTTGGTCCTTGGAGTTTTGGGTTCCTCAGCATGGACTATAAAATCCTTTTCTCTCTTGCTGAAATTCATAGGTACATAACCATCATAGCTACCCCCTCTTCTCCCCCATGCATGCTATTACGCTGAACTTTCCCTAACCCTTGGATGTTGTTTGCTTACTTGGGAAGTCTGAGAAGTAAAACAGAGGAGTGGAGTGTTTTGTCCTCCTGAGCTCTAGTGATGATAAAGATGTAAACAAGCTGATTTTGTACCCCAGGACAAGACAACTAACATAGTGATGTGGAATTTGTGCCTTCTCCTTGCCATAGCTAAAAAGGCTACACAATGGGCTGGAGTGACAGTACAGTGGGTAGGACACTTGCCTTACACGTGGCCACCTCAGGTTCAATCTCTGGTCCCTCATATGGTCCCCTGAGCCTGCCAGGAGTGATTGCTGAGTGCAGAGTCAGCTGCAAGCCCTGAACACTGTCAGGTATGCTCCAAAAATTAATTTAAATAAAAGGAAAGAAAAGGAAAGGGCTACAATGATCTGACATTCCCTGACCAATAAGCTAACAACAAAAGACAGCCCAGGTTGTCTTTGCTAAGTGGACTGAAGGCTTCCTCCTGGCAATATCAGCTGAATAAGACAGCAGTGAGATTTATTGGGAGCCCAGCTGAGAGCACACGGTCATGGAAACACTCATCCTGCTGGACCTGGACTGTCTCCCAGCCACGACATCATACAACAGTGAGGCCATTTCCATAAGCACACATTCCAGGCAGCTTCCATCTCTCTGTGACTGGAGACTGCCTTAGACTACTTAGATGTGCAAAGGAGAATAGCTCGGAAAACTGCATTCTGCTCCCTTTCCAACAGCACCACCAGGAAGACCAAAATAAACATGCAAAGGCTCTGAAACAAGAGTGGTTAGAACCACAGATGGCAAAATTGGACTGGAAGATACTCACCTATACTAAACAGGTGAGTAAAATAATTTTATATAGCGTTTGTAAAAATAGTTTTAGGTAGTCTTTTATAATTTTTTAATAATTTTCTTGCTATAAATTTTAAACACCGGTTAATCACGGCAGAGCCTGGCAAGCAAGCCATGACATATTTGACATGCCAAAAACAGTAGCAATAACAGGTCTCATTCTCCTAACCCTGAAAGAGCCTCCAATATGGCAGCATCAGGAAGGACGAATAAGGAGAGGCTGCTAAAATCTCAGGGCTGGGATGAATGGAGACTTTACTGGTGCCCGCTTGAGCAAATCAATGATCAACGGGATGACAGTGATACAGTGATACAGTCAAACACCGGTCAAAGAATTCTAGATGGAATTCTTAAATGAGCAGCCATTTTTAGTAAAAATAAGTGAAGACAGAAAAGAATCACAGTCCACAAGAACAAGGAAGATTTAAGTTCTCTTATAACCTTCATATGGAACAATTTGACTCATATTTGTGACCTTCAGTTTCTTAACACACACACATACAAAAAGACGTGACATGCCAAAAGAATAAGCTTTTATTGTGGGGATGGTGTTGGAGAAAGAATTTTTTGGTGAGTATATAGATGTGGAAGACTTTCCTAATGAGTTGATATGAATCAAATGTAATTCAACCTAAGAAGAACCAACTGACTCTCATGGATTCACCTGTATTCTTTTAATTGTTAAAAATAAATAAACCTACCTCTTGCATTGAGTTTAGATATAATTAAATAGTTTTGGATAGTTTTTTTTTATTTTTTTTAATTTTTAGTAGTGAGACACCATGAGGTACAGTTGTAGACTTACAAATTTTGTGCTTGGGTTTCAATTATACAATGATCAAATACCCATCCCTCCACCAGTGCCCATTTCCCACCACCATGGATCCCAGTATCTCTCCCACCCCCACCCCCACATCCCACCCTGCCTCTGTGGCAGGGAATTCCCCTTTGTTCTCTCTCTCCTTTTGGGTGTTGTGGTTTGCAAAAGAGGCATTGAGTGGCAATCATGTTTGGTCTATAGTCTACTTTCAACATGCTTCTCCCATTCTGGGAGGATCCTCCAAACACCCTTTATTTGGTGCTCCCTTCTCTATGGAGCTCCCCTTTCCCCTAGCATGTGTGGCTGGCCTCTAAGCCATGGAGCAAAATTCCTGGTACTAATCTCTGCCATTCTTGGGTGTTAGTCTCCTATTTTGTTACTTTATGTTCCCCAGATGAATGCAATCTTTCTATGTCTAACCCTCTCTTTCTGAGTCATTCCGCTTAATATGATTACTTTCCATGTTGTACCACTTATATGTAAATTTCATGACTTCATCTTTTCTAACCGCTACATAGTACTCCATTGTGTAAATGTACCAAAGTTCTTTAACCAGTCATCTCTTCTCGGACACTCAGGTTTTTTCCAGATTCTGGCTATTGTAAACAGTGCTACAATAAACAAACAAGTGTAAAAAATGGGGCAATGAAATGAACAGAAACTTTATCAAAGAAGAAATCCGAATGGCTAAAAATCACATGAGAAAATGCTCCACACCATTAATAATCAGGGAGAAGCAGATCAAAACCACAATGAGATATCATTTCACACCACAGAGACTGGCCCACATCCACAAGAACAAAAGCAACAGGTGCTGGTGCGGATGTGGCAAGAAAGAGACCCTCCTTCACTGCTGGTGGGAATGCCGACTGGTTCAGCCCTTTTGGAAAACAGTATGGACGATTCTCCAAAAATTAGATATCGAGCTCTCATTTGACCCAGAAATATCATTCCTGGGAATATATCTCAGAGAGACAAAAAGTATAGTCGAAGTGACATCTTTTTTATTTTTAATAAGTTTCTTGCTATAAATTTTAAACACCACTCAAAAAATTTTAAATGGAATTTTTAAATAGTTTCCAGAGTATCCAAACAAAAGAGTGAAAATGATCTGAATAATATAAAAATCACTCATAAGATAATCAAAAGGGAAACAATTTGATTAAAAACTCAAAAATTTACAATGGGAGTAAATACCTCAACTTGGCCAAAAATGCACCTATAAAAACATCCAGGTAACTTTATATTTAATGGTGAAGCATCAAAGGATGCCTCTCCAAATGTTTAGGGAACAAAATCTTCATGTTCTTCTTGGCCACCAGTATTAAAATATCATATAAGAATATCAGTGTTGTTCATCCAACAAAGTTAAGCAAAGCAGAAAGGAGAAAATAAGAATCCCCCTAGGTGTAGGTCATAAGATTGTCTATTGAAAAATATAACAAGGAAAGCAAAATATGTCTTGAACTGAAAATCACACTTAGCAATTAACTCATGAAAACAAATTAAAAACACTCTCATATACAATTATTCCAAAGAGAGTGAAATATTCATGTATAATATTGAAGCATATTCAGGATAGGGAAATGAGATCCATTTATTACTGGATTTGGCATATCAACTTCGTCTATTTGGTATAGACCACGGATAGCTTGCCAGGCTCTGCCATGCGGGTTGGATATTTAAGGTACCCTGAAAACTTAGAGAAAAGTAAATAAGTAAAATAAGTAAAAAATAAATAAATAAATAAATAAATATTCGAAAGAACTATGCTTGGAATATCACGATTCACTCAAATGAGAGATAGAATCCGGAGTTCTGATCTTCATCAACGCTCAAGAATCAGGGACGCTGTCTCATTTGCCAAGACATCA